TTCGAAGTGTTTTCGGAGCGCGAGCATTGAAGATGCCAAGTGAGATTTTGGCGAAACGTCTGCAGGATTCCAGTCGGATGCAAGATTTGCAGGATTCCAGTCGGAGTTCAACGAGCGAACGGATGATATCCCGGAATATAGTGTCATCATATATATATATATATATATATATATATATATATATATATATATATATATATATATATATATATATATATATATATATATATATATATATATATATATATATATATATATATATATATATATATATATATATATATATATATATATATATATATATATATATATATATATATATATATATATATATATATATATTCTCACGTATTGATTCACGGATGGAAAAATGTGATGACACTATATTCCGGGATATCATCCGTTCGCTCGTTGAACTCCGACTGGAATCCTGCATCCGACTGGAATCCTGCAAATCCTGCATCCACTGTGTTCGAAGTGTTTTCGGAGCGCGAGCATTGAAGATGCCAAGTGAGATTTTGGCGAAACGTCTGCAGGATTCCAGTCGGAAGCAGGATTCCAGTCGGAGTTCAACGAGCGAACGGATGATATCCCGGAATATAGTGTCATCACATTTTTCCATCCGTGAATCAATACGTGAGAATATATATATATATATATATATATATATATATTTGCTCGAAAGTTTCTGTGTTCCTTTTTGTCAGGTTATAACATAACAATTAAACTTAATAACATAAAATTCCCACTCTCTGAGTCATGCAAAAGCTTGCGTCTCACTCTTGATTCGCAGTTGTGGTTCAGAGAACATATTACTAATAAACTAAGGGTTGCCTATGCTCATTTAAAATTAATTTATGGCAATAGACATGTACTTTGTCAGGGAACTGGTAAGTTGCTGTGTGAATCACTTGTTCTGTCACAATTTAATCGCTGCAGTGCTGTGTACGGACCGTGCCTGGATGCATCCGATCGCTACCGTGTCCAGAAGGTTCAAAACTCCTGTCTAAGGCCAATTTATGGGGTAAGGAAGAGAGATCATATCTCCCCGTACCTTGCTGCGTCGGGTTGGCTTAATATGCACATTCGATGCAAATTACGAGTGAGTTCTCTTTATTTCAACATTCTTAAAACAAAATTACCTTTTTATCTTTACAGAAAAATTACTCTTAACATATCAATACACAATTTGAATCTGTGTGGAAGACACCGACTAGTTATACCCCGTCACCGCAAGGAATTATTTAAAAGATCATATTCTTATAATATAGCCATTTGCATTAACTCCATCACTAATTTTAATATTAGTCAGTCCAATTCAACGTTTAGGAATAATTTCAAAAAGCAGTTGTTACGTACGCACTAATATTAAGCTTTTCTACAAAACATGTGCCTCTTTCCTTTCCTTCCCCCTCCATTTCTTCTTTTTTCTTTTCTTTAGAATTATGTGCATCTGCGCTTGGCGCTTTCAAATAAATTCTATGAAATTTTTTATTATTATATTTTCGCTGTTAAATTGAGGCCTGAACAGTATCTAGAACTTCTAGATGGCTGCCCTAACAAGGCCTATTGTTGACCATTATTTCACTTATTTAATTTTGGTTATGTAATTATTTCTATGTAACTTTGATCGTTATAACAATAAATGTATTATTATTATTATATTATTTCATGTCAGTACCGCGGAGCGGAAAATTTGAAATTTGTTTCTCGTTCTTGACGCTTTAGAGTTGTAGTAAATGCATAATAATGTGCATAAAAAGTCTAGTTTTAAAATCTCACAAATCATCATAATTAAGTGATTAACACAAGAGATATTATCACTGCTTGATTACTGTGACGTAGTCTGTTGGGACTCTTTGGCCTTGCAGATGGCACAGAAAATCTTGCTTACAATATACCCTTTAGACACCACATAAAACCATATCTAAATTCTAATCAATTGTTATAGCAAATATCACTTTATTTGATTTGTAAATAGAATTGACCTTTATCTTAACACCAGACATATAACTGATGTTAGATTGCCACAGCATAAAACTACCAAATTTTCAAAAGAGCCTGTGTTGCTAGTAATTGGAATGCCGTACCTAATCATATAAAATTACAAAAAAATAAAACTTTCGCTAGAAATATAAAAAAATATCTTTTACTGGAACAAAGTGTTATGTTGTAAAATAAATGCATTTTTTTGTACACTATTTTTTGTGGCTGGGAGGTTCGATCTCTATTTCCTTTCTGTCTGCCTATGGGTCCGCCTGCGCACGCTTCTCCTTATAATTATATCTATTCATATAATACGCATGTATTCTTTGTAAAGTTATATACTGTCTTCCATTATACTATCCATTCTTAACCATTGCTGATAAATCGAGATTACAAAAAATCCAGAACAGCTGTGCCTGGTTTGAGAAAGTTTGATCGTATATCAGAAAAAATATTTGTTGTGAAATGGCTTAAAATTAAATATCTATTTCAATGTTTACTCGCAATTTTTGTATTTAAGGCCATGAAATATTCTTTACAAACGTATCTGAAAGATTATCTAGTGTTTCGGTATGAAATTCACAATGTTCCTCTAAGGACGAAAAACATTCTGGACATGCCCCAGCATCTGTCAATCCTGGCAAGATGGTGATGGTCATCTTCACCAGGAAAAGAAAGGTGGAGCGTAACTTCAACATTTCGATGGATGGGGTGTGTCTTTCTGCAAAGCGAAAGCGTCAAGTACTTGGGGATATGGTTGGACTCCAAGTTGACCTTCCAGAAACACATACGGTCAACGTCCAGGTTGAAGCTCTGTGGGCGTGCCGGAGAGCGGTGGGGGGCACTTGGGACCTGGGGCCAAAGATCATGCGTTGGATCTACGGTACCATAATGGTGCCTATACTCACGCATGGGACAGTGCCATGGTGGCCGGGGACCTCTGCATTACAGGCGCCATGAGGCATCCACGAGGGCCCTAGAGGCTCTGGTGGGTCTGTCCTCTTTTTTCGGATCGGGTGCGGATAGAGGTAACCAGGACGGCTGTAAGGCTAGCGAGCTGAGGCCTCTGGAGAGAGGGAACCTTCAAGCGGGGCTCGTACGACCTTTTAGGAGGCTGGTCCGGGGATCACGGTGATATGGGCATGCCGAGTGACGTCATGATCCCTGAGACGACCTTCTTTGATAAAGGGACCTTTGTCTTCCCATCAAGGGAAGAGTGGAAAGAGGGCAGAGTTGGCTCCTGAGACGAACTTGTCTGGTTCACTGACGGGTCCAGAATTGGAGATTTCGCCGAAGCTGGAGCGTAGTGCGAGATAATGGTATCGAGCTTGTCGGTCCCTCTGGGTCAGTACTGCACCGTGTTTCAGGCGGAAATTTTCGCTATACTGATGGCGGCCAGAGAGGTGCTTCGGCTCAACGACGATCGTAGGAGAGTATTCTTCTGCTCTGATAGTAGGGCTGCACTTATGGCGCTAAAATCAGTGCGCTCCTTGTTGATAAGGAGTGCAAAGGGGTACTCAGGAAAGTGTCACGTTGGTCTGGGCCCCGGGATCCGGGGCAATGAGGCAGCGGACGCCTTGGTCAGGGAGGGCTCCTCGCACAGGCATATGGAACCAGAGCCGTGCTTGGGGATCGCCCCGTGCGTGAGGCAGGGAGCTCTCGAAGCTTTATAACAATTATAGTAAATATTTTCAATCCAGCTCAAGTATTTAGAAAAAAATTTAAGGTCCACTTATTGGCATTACAAAGGTCTCTGTCCTAAACAAATTATTATTATTATAGCTTGTTGTTTCAGTATCTGAGATCAAGATCTTATGCTAGACTTCGTCGTTTGAGATGTGTAACTATATTAGTTTGTATTAAGTAATTTTGTCTTAATCTTGTGCAATAATTTAAAATATCTTAACAAAGACTATTATAATTATATATAAAATATTATAATAATTATTATGTTAATTATAAATTTGTCTTAAATAAATTTAAAAAATATTTTTCCTATACTTGCAATATAATTTTTCATTTAATACCTGTAATATGTAATCGTTTTTTTTAATCGCTATGTTGGTAACGATTGGATAAATACTTGTTTATTTCTTGACACCTACAGCAAGGAGCGCCATCATGTTATCATATTAAATACTGCAATTCTATTTTTGTACTGGTTTTCAATACGCTGTTGGAGTGAAGAGTTGGAAATATATTGCGGAAATTAAACTTTAGTCACAAAAGAGTAGCCCTATTGTTCTTGATAGGTAAGTTGCCCACGAAAGTGTTACAAATGTCCTGCTTTGAATTTTTACCTCTTTTAAGACATTATAAAACTCTAACCTTTTGTTATAAGCCATCTCTTCTCATTTTTTAGCTGGTAAATATTTGAAGGCTTCCATCCAGTCAATTTAAAAAAAGTTTGGATAGTTATTCTTTTTAACTCCAAGCCCAGCCCTTGCTATAGGGTAGACGTGCCAGTACAGTCTTCACCAGGACGGCTTATAAGCTTTTGATTTTATTTTATTTCGTCTAAAGAACTGATAGATGACGACTTGAATAGAATTTGAAAAAGTACCTTCCTTAGTAGTATAATAAAAATGATTAGAAATAATAACAAATTAATAATAATTAAAAAATTATCTATATAGGCAGCATGAAAGCATAAAGCATAAAAGAGTGCTAAGCAAAACGTAAAAGCGGCATCTAATTTTTAAAAGAGAAAAACGATTTATAGCAAATATTTACAAATCTACAACTTTTTTTTATTAGAGAACCTTATACAAAGTCCCCCTCTCTTTTAATGCAAAATAAGATAAATTCTAAAAAAATTACTTTTAACGATTTTTTTCATTAAAATTTGAGTATTTGACCAACCTATATTAAATTGAACTGAGGTGGCTTTTACGTGATGAAAATCCATTTATCAAAATAAATAAGAACTAAAAGTTAACTATTACGAAAACGCAAAGCAAATTGGATTTTTCCATTTATCATAAACCTTCACACACGGACACAGTTATACATACATAACAGCTCAAATCACCCATATGCGCACAAAATGACTGCATACACAGACTTCTTAATACGCCACTCTCAACAGAAAATTACAACAAAGATCTTAATATCATTAAACAAATTGCACTGAACAACGGCTACACTCCGTCCATTATAAAATTATAAATAAAAAACAAATCCAGACAACAGTAAATTCTATTTATCCGAAACCTAATACAGGATACGAACAATTTAAAACAATTACATCACGATCAATTAGATTTAAATACATCTCCTTTATTGAACTTAAATTCTCACAACAACATCAATTAAGGTTTTATGGTCATTTTTCGGTATATATAGTAGCAGGTGGTTTGTAAATATTACATTTGATAAAGACGTATATATAAAATATGTTTTTTCCAGGAATACCGAGTATTGTATTTAAAATAAAAAAATTGCAATATGCAATTACAATTATAATATAAAATTTTAAAGGAATAAGTAACAACTTAGGTCTCTACTTTATTATTTATTATTTATTTAATATTTTATTATAAAATTAGGTATCATCCCATAGTATGATCGTTTTATTATAAGATGGAAACCTGTCACAGAACCTGTAAAAAATATCAACCTAACTAAAATACAAAAATTGTTTGAATTCAATTACACCGTTAAAATATTAAATTACAAAATATAAACATCTAATAAAAAACAGACCACCCTGTACACAATCTTGTTTTTCGCGTTTTATCTACGAAATGATAGTATAAACTTAGATTATTATAAAATTAAAAACAAAGTTACGACGACACAACGTAGCGGTAAAAGTGCGCACGTAACTAACAATTTGAGCTCTTTACGATAAACGATTCTGCTGGCGCCATTCTCGGCAAAATATCTTCCAGACCCAAAGAAGCGGGGGAGCGAAATACGAAAGAGTAAAAATAATTTCTTTCGAGGGGAAAGCGGTGCGAATTTAGGTCGCGTCGCTGGATTCCATTTTCAAGCATGGGCGCCACGTTGAAAACTTTAGTCAAATATACAGGGTGGTCGTAATTTGAGTGTTTTAATAGGAAGAACCTATTTCTGAACTAAATAGAGTAAAATCGACTAAAATGCCAAAGGCTCGATTTTTAGGAAACATTTAATGGTTTTTAACAGCATGGCGATATCTTCACCACCATCCGAGATGTCCTTTTGAAAATTGCTCATAACTTTTTTATTTATGAAAATTTTGGAACAGGATAAAAACCTTATTAGGGCGTTTTTTTTTTAAAAGCAAATGCAGATTTTTTTCTACAGTTCCAAGTTTTTTCATAAATGAATACAACTGAGGGAGAAATTTTTCCATTTGTTTCGCCTCCATCTAACAGGGTATATTGAGGGTGTGGACTGTATTGAGGGTGTGGACTGTATTCGAATAGAGATGGTTTATTTTTAAATGATAGCCGTTTAACACAACACAAACTATATTCAGTTACAATCCGACGACGGTACAAAGTTAAGACGTTTAACAAATCAGTTTAATTCGCGAAAATCACAATCACACCATTTGCTTTAAAATAAAGACCAAACAATTAGAGACCCATTTCTTGCTTAGGCAGACTCCTCAATTTCTTACAACATTGTGAACTGTGTGTTTGTACAGCAGAAAAGAATACTTAGGCTTATTTTTAAACTTTCTCCGAGACAGTCGTGTAAAGAAATATTTCAGCAACACAAAATAATGACGGTTCCTTGTATATACCTATTTAAAATATTCCCAGTTACAAACAAAAATAAATATTTACATAAGAAACACATTGATAACCATTGTCACTATTTTCGTAACAGAGAAAATCTCTTAAAGCTCTAAACTGAATCGCATATTTTGTAGAAGATCTTTGGGCCATGCGGGGCCACACTATTATAAAATACTCCAGTCGAGCTTAAAGAACTTTTCTACCAAGCAATTTAAGAAACATTACAAGATGCATCTGACAATTAATGCTTTTTATAGCATAAGTGAATTCGAAGCGCATGTTCCAAATAAATATTTGTAATGTTATATTGATGTATTTGTATTGTCTGTTATATACACATCTTATATGATTGTCCTATATGAATAAATTTATTGGAAGACATACATATTTTCTACTTTATCTATTTTAAAACATTTTAATGTTATTTTTTGCGACGCAACATACATTGCAATGGGTTTTGTGAATAAATGATCTATTTATCTGTCTATCTATTGTTTATTACTCCAAAACCGCTGCCCCTTATAGAACACCCTGCCGAGCAGACCCTTACCCGTAACCATTCCAGGACCGTCCTAGTAATTTATCTCCCTTCACTAACAAGCGGGATATAAGTATATTTTCAATCTTTTTCGCCGAGCAATTCTTGAAACATGTACATAAAAAAATAGTGCAAAGTAACAATTTATTACGTTTTACGTAACCTACCTACTATAACAACATCTGTTGGGATGGATTTTACTGTAAAATTCTTAAAATTCGTAAAATTCTTAAAGCGTCAAAGTTATAAATGCACTATACTTTTGGTCGTACAAAATATCAATAGTGAAAAGGGCTTAAAGCGGGTTTAGCGATGGGACGAATTTCTCGTGCCTATTATCAAGGTCGGTCACGGTCGACTAGCTGCTTTCCGCGACGCATGTCTGGAAAACAGGCGCCATAGGGGCGGCCAGTTACGTCTATAAAACGTCATCAAGGGAGGCGATCGACGTTGCCACGTCTAACGCAATATTAGCGTCGTAAGGAACTAGGTTGTTTCATCAACTACAACTTTCATATTTTATATGGCTATCATAGTTACCTATGGTCTTTAAAATCTGGCCCTGTCTAGCCGTTTTGAGCCATATCATATTCTTAACAGAAAGTTAAAGAATCATTGTCTGGCGCGTTGGTCACACAAACTATTGCAATTTTGTATTTGGCCCCTGTTTGGATTCGGTCACTAAAGCCAAACTACAATGGGGCGGAGCACCATCCTGTTGAAACCAAATCTGCGAGAGTAGGACTTAAGTAATTTTGAAGAAATTGTAAATAAGTCATATTTAGATAAAGAAAATTGTTGTCTATAAGTATTATCCGACCAACAAAAACTGCGCAAGAAAAAATTATGATGGACAGATGCACCTGACTTGAAAATGAATTTGTTTCATATTTTAGCACTTCACTGTATATTATATTCTTAGCGCACTTAGACCGCAAAACCTGCTTGATTGCTATAGATAGATAAATAAATCTAAAATAATATCATAAAAGAATAATCGTGTTCATGAACTTACTAAACAGTATAACCTAACAATTATTACAGAGATAATAACAAAATCAGCCTTCTCATGTAATCTGTATATAATCTCTAATATAATTTAAATAAATTTAGTTCATCAAACTTTTCCCTTCAACTATCGCCTATTTTAAAACTTTTTTAAAAAGGTAAAACTTTGTATACTTTGTTTACTTGGAAGTAAAGAATTGTATGTTTCCACAGAGCATTGTGAAACAGTTTTTGATACGAAACTAAAGTAAAATTTAATTTTTATTCTCCGTATCAGCTTAATTTTTCCTTTATAACACATTTTTTGAATATCTAACATTTCCGACTTATGGAAAAATGCGTCTGTAGTGTACTTTTTTCTTTCACCATATATTATTTTCAACAACCATTTTTGCGTATTACTCAGAGCCTTTAAATGTCAGTAAGCTACTCCATCCCATCCAAAAATACCATGATGTACTGTACTAAGGAGAGACAAAGCAATCTTAGCTGATACTTTTCTAGAAACTCCTTAAAATATCAAAATTTAGGCAACAACCCCCTTACTCGCATTTCTTATTTGTAATTTTTAAATATTTACTTGATTCTGTTCCTGGAATTTCCTTTTTATTGTTGAAGTTTGGCAAATGGCAAATATCGATTGCAAAGGGTGTTTTTTATAATTTATAGGTAATTTATTTTCCTGGAAATCAGGTTTTGATGATTTTCATGTAGAAGATTGTAGTGTCATCAGTAATAGTTATTATTTTACTACTACTTTTAAAGTTTTAAAGTTTTGTTTATTTTTAAAGAACCAAAGTTTGAAAAACGTTAATCACGAATTCCAACATTTGGTTTGTGATATTGACAAGCATGTGATAGTAATATATGAACATTTATTGATCTTGAATCTCAGACTGCTGACCAAACACCACTCATACAATAGATCTAAATCCTTTCTTTCAATCGCCTTCTTTTCAAGGAAAAACAGTGTGTATTTGGTCACAAAGTTATTTATAGCCGCATATTTGACATCTTATTAGACCAAGTTCTATGTTCAGATCAACTAGATAATATTTTTTATGATCTTAGATCAAGATAATTATTTAGCCATCTACAATAACCAATAACATGGCGGCCTTTATATATATATATATATATATATATATATATATATATATATATATATATATATATATATATATATATATTTTTTTTCACTTAAAACCCCGCACGCCAATAAGTCCAAAACGAAAAGAAATATTTAATTTATGTAAAAAGTAGTCAAAGTGTAGGGTCAAGTAGATATTTCCTAAAGTTTAAAAAATTCGACGCCTGCAAAGAGCCGGGCGTCGCGACGCGTCGAAAAATTATTCGATTCGAAGAGACTTTGGAAATACGCGCATACAAAAGTACATATTATTTAAAAACTTTTTTGTTATTTACTCAAACTTATTTACTTTACCCGTTTCTAAGTTATACCGATTTAAAGTAAACATTTCTTGATTAATAAAAAATGTGATTAACGCTTATTTTTACAAGTATGCCATGAATGTTAGTTACTATGGCAACCATTGTTATCGCAGTTGTTTTAAGTGCAATTACAAACGTAAGTTATTGTTGTTGCTGTATCAAAAAATTGTCACATTTTGTCACAAGAAATATCCAAATTTGTTCGGTTTAAAAAAAACTAAGAATTATTATGTGAAAATGGTGCAATTTAGCAATGAGGAAAAAGTAGACATGTTACTGGTGTTTGGAGAATGCAGATGCAATTGTAGAGAATCAAAAAGAGTTTACGCACGGCGTTATCCGCATAGAAGAGTCCCCGATGCAAAAACCTTTTCAAGTTTATGTAAAAACTTAAGAGAATATGGCAGCTTCATAAAACCTAACA